CCCTGTACTTGATATAGCCTTGCAGCAGTGCCACATCCTGAGGCACTCTCCACCAGGCACAGTTCTTGGGGCTTACAATGCTGGAACTTTTCATTTTGGCTTAGTTTGCCTTGTGGTGCCTTCAACACATGCATCTGTGCATGCGAGCGCTGCAGAAACGTAGCAGTTCAGAAAACTTTCTCTTTCCTTTAGCTGAGTCCTGTTGCTCAGGAATGACCCAGCCCATGGCTATTGGAGCGGCAGGTAGATTGCGAGGAGCCTGAGCTCTTGGGTTCTGTGTCAGAGCTGATCGTGTGAACGGTGGTGCTTGCTGCAGGCCCTGCAGGCAAGTCTGGCTCCCTTGGTGTGGGAGCAGGAAGCCTGCGGCACTGAGCAGCTTGCTCTGGGCCACTGGGAGCCTTCTGCTATCCCTAAGCAATGGGTTACAACTGAGGAGCTCCTCTCCCTTCGCCTTTCAAGTCGGGTGGTGCGTGTCTTGTGGTTCTTATCTGCGTGCAGGTATGAGCACAGCGCTTATCAGATCTGGAATGCTAGCCCCCTTCCACTTTATATAAAAGAATAAGCATTGCTTTCATCCACACTGTGAATTACACGTTTTTAGTGTTTTCAAGTGTATTTTGAAGTGGTGGGTATAATCATGCATTTAAATTACTTGTTGGGTATGTGCAGTACCTTTTTTTAGTCAAAATCCTTGTAGTCTTAACCTGCTGGCATGCTACGAAGTGATACAGTTGAAAGACCTTAATTTTGCATTCTGTGCTTAGGTCTTGTGGTGACTGGATACTTTATATATACACAGGCACACAGCAGAGAAACCTGCATGCATTGCCTTTTGAAGACGTAAGTGCATCTTTTGCAACTGCGTACAACTGTACGGAGGAGCCCAGAAGGAGACAATACAGTCAGTTCTATGATATAAAGCAGCAAGATCATATGGCACTACCAAGTCATGCCCTTGGTGACAGGCAATAGCAGGACGTGTCTGTGAGCCGTGCAGCAGTGGGTGCTGGGGGGGTGCGTATGGCAGCGTACTTTTTCTTTGTTTTTCCCCCTGTAAGTGGTTCACAGAAACACCCTCTATTGTATGCCTATGTTTGCATGCTTTTTGTAGGCAGATGTGAGGTTGCTCTGAACTAGAGGACATGTACTTACGTAAGTGCTAACCAGAGCTAAACTGGATTAGAGTGGGTTTGTGGCCAGTCATCTCTGAGCGTGGGCAGAGTGAGCTCACATCTCCCTCCAAAACTCTGTGGAGGTGTATCTTATTTTAGTTATTTTTGAGCCCCTTCCTGTAATAACAGCATCATGTACATGTAAAATTGTGAAGGAAGAAATAGTACCTCCTTTCTGTGAATAAGGAACTAACAAGCGTGAGCGCGCGCGCACACACACACACCCACACATCTCCCTGCTTTTGCCGAAGGTTGTGCAGCAAATCTGTAGCAAAGCAGGGGACTGAGAGTGGAGACCAGTGTTAACATCGTATTTCCCACGTCGTTCTTACCTCATGGTGCTACAGCATGTGTTTTAAAATGATCCTTGTGTAACAGGCGGGATACTTTGGTTCCTGCTCTAATAGACCATTTGGCCATGAGCTCAGTTAGAGAACACAAAAATCCAAATGAAGATCATTGCAGAGGGACTGTTCTCAAATGAAAAGCATTAGGAAAACAATTCTTTTTTGCTAATGTATGGAACCAAGGAGAGTAAACAATTTAAGAACAAGCTAGCAAAGGTAGTATAGTCCTGGGACACAGAAGAGAAGTGATAAAAAAAAGGAGATAAGAGTAATTCCTTTTTTTTTTTTTTGTAGAAAGTTCTGTCAATAGTGTTTAATTATAGTGTTTACTTTTCTGTTTCAAAATGATTGTCTATGAAGAGTTGCCCATGTCTAACTAAACCATTCTTCACTCATTCATCAATTAGGGAGGATTTTTAGAAATCCAACTCAAAAGATTTCATCATAATCAACCTTCCGCCCCCTTCAATTTATGATTGTTGTTATGGGCTTACTCGTCATTAATGTTGTTTTAATTGTGCGATTTTGCATGTTCAGGATGTGAAATTGCCATGTGAATCAGGTCTTAAACGTATAACTTCATTTCTGTATTATTCCTTCTTCTCATTTCACATCATGCTCTAATTCTGAAAATAGGTTTTTAACAGTTGTTGAATGGTACATATTTTAGTCCCAGCAGCCACAATGATAGGCCACACGCTTAAATGATATAACATGATGCCATGCTTTTCACTAAATGACTGCTTCCATTTTTTACTCGCAGGCTTCCTTCGTGCTCATTGACGACTGTGTGCAGAAACTACAGACTACCTGTAGAGGCTGTATCTTAGAAGCATCAGTCTTTTAATGAAAGTTTTTTTTATCAAATGAGTATTTTTTCTACTTTCTGTCAGTGGTGAAATCTTATGTTATGCAGCCCAAAATCTCTCGATAGTATTAGAGCTGGTAGTGTTTGGGAGAAAAGAGGACTGTTTTTAAATGACTGCATAAATAAATACCTTCTACGTACTATTCTAAAAAATACGTGCTATTTGTGTCAGTTTCTGTGGTTCATAACAGTTAAGGCATACGTGATCGTACAGTTGTTTACTGTAATCTTGTATGGCCAGGATTCTCTTTGTGTCAGTGTACTTTTGCAAGATAAAGCACTCTTTTCTAAAAGTGAACTGTTTTGAAGCATTCTGTGAAATTGTTGGATAATGGGATGTTGTTCTTTCTCAACTCGATGAGACATGGTTAAGATGAATAATACTGCTTGCCAGGCCTCTTGCTTTTTAGGGTTTGCTGAAATGTCCTTGGTTTGCTTTCCTCGTACCTGAGACCTCACATACCCTGAAGAACTTCTATTACACTTGCTTTTTAGCAAAACTTCTCATTTACAAGGAGGTCCGTGGCCTTTACTGATTTTCACTGGAAGCCGGTTGCCTCAATTCATATATCCTTTTGCAAATCCTGTCTTTGAACCCCTGTGCTCTAAAAACTTCCTAGTGGTGGCCTTTACTGATTTTCACTGGAATTCATATATCCTTTTGCAAATTCTGTCTTTGAACCCCTGTGCTCTAAAAACTTCCTAGTGGTTTCTTCTTCTCGTGGTGTACTAAAGACCTAAAGACAGCGTATGTTACTTGGTTTTTTGTTTGTTTGTTTTTTGTTTTTCTTCTCCCCATTTCCCAAGTCTTAGGAGTTCCTGGTGGACCCCCTATGGGAGCCTGGAACATGCTTACCAGTTTATACTGTGTAACAGGGAAGGCTCCAGCTCTGAGGTGCCTTCTGCACAATGGGCCAAATTTGCTCGGGATCCCTGGACATGGTTAGCCCCGGCCTGGCCTCTCGCCTGCATTGCATCCCCTAACATCAAAGTTTCACATCCGTATTATTCCGCAGGGTTGGTGGGTGTGTGTGCTTGTTTTGGTTTGTGTTTTTCCTTTTTTGTCTAACTAAGCATTTTGCCAATAGATTAAATATTAGCAGAATGTTATGGCTAAATTTCAGATTTTGTATATTTAACCTTTCCCCCTAATTGCTTGCTCAGCATCAAGGTTTGGTGCTTTGTTCCTAAATTCTCTCCATGAGGTGGTGTGCTTTAAAGTGTATTTATACTCTTGCAGATTAATTAACTGTGACCTTATGAACCACTGTCCTTGTTTAATTGGTGGCTCCAAAGCACACTAATGGCATAAATCAGCTCATAATGAGATTCAGACTTGCTTTTAAAATATATAATAACACTGCATTGATACAGCAAATGAGATGTGTTGACTTTCTCTTGGTATTACAGGAGAGAAGACACAATTAAATGTGTACTTTCAGCACGGGGGAGGGCTCGGCTGGAATGAATAATATGCACTTCAGGGTGGGTGTATGGAATAAGGAGGATATTCTGCATCAAGATAAGTTTGGTATTCTCTCCTTGTCTCTAGGCAATGCGCAGTACTGGCTGGTGCACTTTAGGATACAGCAATGTTGTGGGAAGGTGTTTCTCAAAGATTACTGGAGGCTAACAAAATGATGATTTCATCTTAAATATAGTTACATGTTTTCAAACTAAGCTTACACCCACTGTTTTATGAACTGTAAATTAATCAGATAGCTCCCAGAGAACAAAAAGGTTTTGACCTAAACTAGTTGCCCAGGCTCCGTGGCTGTTTTCAGTTTAATGTTACCCATATCCATCCTCACATTTTGGAAGGAAAACAAGAGCCCTGCAACAAAGTTTCTTTGTTTTCCTAAGAACTAAAAATGTGCTGTATGTAGACCAAACAATAAAAATAAACTACTGAGCTACCTTCTAATGCATGGGGGTTCTGGAGAGAGGAAACCATGGATATTTAGAGGCATAAAGTGAGTCATTGTGCTAGTTAAAGAATTTTATAAGGCAAGCTCTGTGGGTTTGAGTTGCATCTGTTACCTTTCCAGATAGAACGGAGGGGTATGCGGCAAGAAGAATGTTGGATTTAATCGTGCTGTATAGTGAATGCATTGTGCTTAGCCTAAGCTTCGAATCGGGATCTAGACCATAGGAGGACAAAACTGTTAGTCTCTCTTTCTGTATGAATTTGACCTTCGATGGGTTCCAGTTAAGCACACCTAAACCGTGTTAATTTAAACCAGTTAAGCTACAGAATACAGTTAACAAAATACTTTTAAAAGGGAATGCATGTTCCATAGCACTTGAAAGAAAACAAACCTCACAGCTATTTTCCTTATTAAAAGATAACCCTGCTTATATTTATGACAGTTCTTAGAAGCCGTAATGGACTGGGTTGCTATGGTGTGAGATGCCGAACAATGAAATAATTGTTGCTCCTGATATTGGCTTCCTGGAAACAAATTCTGTGTAAATTGCTGGGCTGAAAGAGTGACAGTGGTGTGTTAGAGGATTTATTTAGTTCAGAGTTAAAAATTACAACTATTTAGGGCAATATAAAAGTAAAACGTATCAGTTTTATACTTCATTTTTTTTTCTCTTCTACATTTTCAGGTCAGTTTCATGAATTCAAAAGCAACTTACCAGTGATTTCTGGGAGCTGGGGCTGATTCTCTTGTGTATTTGTAAGTATTTGTTGATTAATCTTCCTATTACCTATTACTTCTTTGTAAACTGTTCTAACGTGAAAGAATTTAGAAACTATGCTCAAATGTCACTGTAATATAGCATTTTTAGACTGTTCTCTTATTAAGAAATGTACTTAACTCAAAGTTTCTAAGTAGTTATTTCAGGCTTTGGTTTTCCTAATAATGAGAGAACAGTATTACAAATCTGGAGCACGTAAAATTATGACTCTGATGTTGATAGCGCTGCGTTATTTCTAGTAGTGATTTGAGGCTGTGATTCACGGCTGATGGTACTTTTAGAGGAAATGATACTTGGATTTATTGAGGAAATGCTAAGACGACCACAGTTGGCCCACCTAGGAATGTATTTATATTTGTCCTGGAGAAAGCTGACCTTTATAGTTCCAGCAAAATGACTGAGACTCTAGCCATTTAGGCTATGGCCCAAGAATTACTCCAGCATATGCCCAAGTTTAGATAAAGTGAATGGGGCCTAAGTGCTTTAGGAAAGGGAGGGTTAGAGAAAAGGGTCTGTGAAGATGATCCTCACTCATACAATAAGGAGAAAGCTTTCGGAATTGCTGTTTTGGGTAGTCTTCAGCTTTACGCAAATATGGTAAGGAAAATCTCTTGTGGCTTAGGCTTGACATGGTACAAATTATTTTGCATGATATAGTATAAATGAAACCAATCTATACTGCTTACTCTCTTAAGTCACAAATATAGTTTATGAATAAATATTTATTCAATCATTTAGGGAAAAAAAGTTCACAAAACCATACTCATCAGGGAAAAATATGTCTGTTTCTCTTGTCCACGGGGAAACATGTTCAAATTGTACTAGCCCTTTCTCTTCACTAATGTTTAATTGCATATGTGGTTTTCTACTACATATTGCAATATCCTTCTTTGACAGATCAGTAGGCATCTTTTTAATAAGCATAAATAATTGTCAGTCATGTTTATAGAAAAGATTGTTAATAATTTTAAACAACAATATTTAGTAAATAATTTTAAAGAATTATTACCTTTGAAAAATACTTTCCAGGTGACAATGTAAAGTTACAGGGTGATTGCTCGACTGATAGTGAGGAATTTGTTGTAACTTTTTCTAGCTTTGCCACTGCACTGTTTTATGAAGCAATCACTTAGGCTTTCTGTGCCTCAGTTTTCTGATCTATGGATGGAAATATTAATTTTAAGACCTTAAAAAATTCTTTAGCAATTGGGTTATGGACTGCTGACCTGAGTCCAGTCTAAACTGACAATGACAGAAAGCTGTGGTAAACAAATTTTGACATATGGTATATTTCGAAAATGGTACTCGTGTTTAGATCAATCAAATAGGTGTCTTAAAAAGTGCTTCAGGGAGAAGTGCCAACTGTGATTATCACACAGCTCCAGCTTGGCTTTTACAGAATAAGTTGTTAGCACAGGTAAGCTGCTTGACAGTAGTGTGGCCCTGAGAACTGGAACATGGCTCAGCAGTCTTGCAAAGGAAGCTAAGTAAGTGATTATGCACAATGACTGTACAAAATGAGCTGCAGGTTAGTCTTTTCAGATATTTTCTGCAAATCAGAGGTCAGTCATGCTGGCACAAGTTTCTAGAGAAACTAACACTACTGCTGACTGTCCTTCTGCTTTGATTAAAGGTCTTTTAATATTTAGCATGATAAAGATTCTAGCAAAAAATGTAAACCCTAAATTCCAAGAAACTCAAAATTTTAAAAGTAGGATGTATAGCTAACTTGATACAGTCCAGTGTCTCCTAAGCTACTGACAACAAGTCTAAAGTATATGTTCTATATAAATACAGGTTTATATATTCTGAATTAATCTCAATTTTGCGCCTCAACTTGCACGTATTTTTCAGGTAGTTTACCTCAGTTCAGCTGATACAGACTCTTAGTGTGTGGTGACACTAGCATGGTTAGTGCCATAGTTTTCCCTGTGCAATATAGAATAACAGGGCAGGTTGTTTATCTCAAGTATCTTACAAATTTAAGGTTTGATTTCTGCAAATATGTATTCATGTGAGGTGCCTGTGGAGGCTGATCAGAGCGTAGCAGGACCTGAGGGCGAACAAATAGGCTGTAAGTAAGTGATACAACATAAAAAGGAAGCTTTTGGGGGCAGTGTGGAAGACAAAAGTTTTGCATATATGAGGAGTGTTGAAGAACTTCAGTTTTAGGCAGTATCGGAAAATGCTTATGGGAAGTGTATACCTATCCTATAACATCTGGGTATGTTTTTATAGCATATTTCTTTCATTTGTACTCAAAAGGGAAGGAGTATAGATCAATAAGAGGAAGATTCATCTTGGCAACTGCACATGTTTTCATACAGGAATACAGCAAGATAAGCTAAATACCTCTATAGGTCTATACCAAAGCTATTTCATCCAGGGGCTATAACAACTTTTTTTTTTTCCCAAATTTTTGAAAGTTTTGTCATAAATGCGCTCTACTGTAACATGTAATTACTTGAATCATCCAGTTCAGACTTCTTTTTTTTTTGGTCATTCTTGGCTAGTTTTGTTCAGGAGAAAACAGGATTGATGATTCATACAAAAGTAAATTGCACGGAAAATGTGACATTTGTGCTTTTGTGTAATGCCAACAAAGTAATTGTCCTAACTGAAGGTTACTTTTTTCAAGAGTATGGACTTAACATGGTTGCATTTACTTAATTGTTCTTCTCGAGTAGGTTTGTCCAGTAGTAAATTGCAATAGTTATTTATTACAAAAGGTAAAATAGATGTCCTCTAATAACACTGTGTATAAAATAAATTTTGTGTGAATACTATTATATATGCTTTTTTTTTTTTTTTTTTTTACTAGCAGCTCAGTTTCTATGTAAGTATTTTATTATAATTTGAGTGTGAAGTGAAAACACTGACAGAGGAAAAAAGTCTAAAATGAATGGTGGTGAAGCCTATGCCACTTCAGTGTCTTGCTAGAATAGCTCTTCAATGAAAAGCCTGCCTTGAAAATATGCTGAAAATAATATAATTGGAGTTGAGACTAAAATCAAATTGCTTTAAAAAGAGCAGCATTTTTTTTTCGAAGAAGGTTTGCAAAAATAAATAGAAACACTGAAGATGCACACATATGCCTGAGCGTGCTTCTACATGTGCAACAAAACTCATAGTGTAGGTAGGCAAACATTATCTCCAGAAATTCAGAGCACATCGTCATAGACTATCTTTTGCTTCAGACTTGGTATTTAACTCATTTCCTCAAACATACTTTTAATGCAATTTTTATGCTTCTTTGATTTAGTTTGGAAAAGTTATATTTAAAACTTAGGGATAGTTTTTATTTGCAGCATGGAGCATCTGACCAAATAGGTTTGTGTTTTGAATCTTTTACAGCCTATTTTAAGAGAGGAAACTATTAAATTGTGAATATTGTCACGATAAAGAAGCTTATTTGGAGCAAATAAAGAATTTAGTGCTATGGCAGTGTTCAGCCTCACAGATTTAACTGATAGCATCTGATGTTTTCTGAATTATGGTTAATTTAGGAAAATACAGGGCCTAGATATAGGGTTTACTAGATAAACGATATGCTGAGTTCACTTGCTACGAAGTAGATTTCCAATTTCATTTTTCTCCTTAAGTTATACTTGCTCATTAGCATTTTGGACAAGGAGCTGTTTGTCAGATTATCATGTCTCTGTGTGAAGAGCAGATTCTTTTGAAACTCCTATAGAGAAAGCGAAGCGGTGCCTTTCTGGGAGCTCTGTTTGCTGCAGCATCTGCATCTGTTCTAGGCAGCGAGGTGCTGCAGGCCCCAGGGGACTTGATTCTTGTCTGCCTACTCCCCTTCTAGCATTTGTGTCGTATCAGTACATGAAATAATTTGGTCACACCATGAAGCAGCCACGCAGCAGGTTGTGGTTCTGTTTTCCCTGTATTATTTTATAAATGTTGAATATAAAACCTGCCTCTAGAGGATCAGTATCTTACTACTTTTATGCAATGCTTGTATTACAGTAGCATGCAAGTTCTGTAGAAAGAATTGAAGTTACATTGTATTAAAGGAGATAAAAATTAATAGAAAAGTAAGGACCCTGCCCCAAATAGTTTCTCCTTTGAGAAAGCTTCTGTTAAAAATGCATATGCATCTTAGTTACATCAAGAGAGAATCCAACAAGTTAAAATCAAATGGAAAGCAGAAGGATGTTTCCCTGTACTGTGGTAATGCACAGTGCATGGATGCTCAAGCACATCTGTCAGTGCGGGTCCAATAGGAACACAGCTGCGTCTACCCAGCACTGCACGGAGGTAGCTTGTGTGCCTCTGCCCGCTGTAGTTGCACCTGGAGAGAGGCAGGAAAAATAGATTTCCGGAAATAGAGAGTAAAGCTGTCTGGCACACTCATTTGTCCAGAGCAGGACAGAGGAAGTTTGAGCAAAACTACAGCCAGGTTTACTTGCTTGTTTCTATTTCAGTGTCTGAAGTTCTCTTCCCTAGCCATTTCCAACTGGGCTTTCCCCTGTGTGAATATTGCCTAAAGCCGTGTGGTTGTGGGAAGTTGTCTTGGGGCGTGGAGTTCTCTTAGTAGGAGGAGTGCTCCTATCTGAGTTCCCATTTACCTTCTGAATACAGCAGGCATCCTTCTGGCTGCTTCTCTATTGACTGTGTGGACTGTTTCTTGGTAGTAAGTAACCAAATGAATAGATAAGCAGCACACACGCCTTATGGAAACGATGCACATTGTGTTCATTTTACCTGTGTTGTCAGAGGTGAAACGCTTGTTCATCACAAAGCTCATAGGCACTGTAGGTGCATATGGGCACTTAGCAGCCACAATGAACCGTCTTAGAAAAGCTGTGAAGAAATTTTTTTCTTCAAGTTGCACCAAGTAGTAAATTTTATAAAATACTTTCTATTTTACACTATGGCTGGACAGGAACAATGTGAGCATTATCTTTTCAAATCCAGTTATTTAAGAGGGCAAGAGTTACAAGCTCCACGGACAGCTGCATTCTCTCTCT